GGGAGAAAGGGAGGGAGGGAGGGAGGGAGGGAAGCAGGCAGGAAGGGAGGGAAAGGGAAGGAGGGAGGGAAGAAGGGAGAAGGGAGGGAGGGAGGGAGAGACAGAGAGAGACAGAGAGGGGGAGAGAGAGGGAGAGAGGAGGAAGGGAGGGAGGGAGGGAAGCAGGCAGGAAGGGAGGGGAAGGGAAGGAGGGAGGGAGAGAGGGAAGGAAGAAGAGAAATAAAAAGAAACAGAAAACGTGTTAGTTATAAGAAGACTATCAAGATGAAGGAAGAGTTAAAAATGCAGGGTGTCTAATCACATAAAATCTGGCCCTGCGTCTAAACATGTGGAGATGCCTAGGAAGGCATGTGCTCCCGAGTAGTGTACATGAGCAGACACATGCAGACAAACATAACCCCAGCTTAATCATTAAGGATTTTGGTAATGAATAAACAAAACATGGTCCTTCAGCTTCTCTAGGGAAAAACAAATAACTCTGGTTCCTGTTGAACAATACATCAAAGAACTACCCAGATGTTCAGATCAAAAGACAAAAATAATCAGAAAATTGCATGAAGATGTGTAATATGCCAAAGGCAATATTTAAAAAAAAAAGTCATTTAACACAGGGCACCAAGTGGTCACAGAGCAGAGGGTGAGAATCAAAAGAACCAGCTTTCCATGAGGTCGCTGGTGGCGAGGATCAGACTTCCAAGAGGCAGACAGTAGAAAGATGATGTAGGGTCCTTGGGAATTGAAGCACACAGAAAGCTACTGGGACAGCTTGCTTGAGGACAGTTGGAACAGAGATAACTTCTATCCAAAGACAAGAACAGCTGGTAGCCACGTGAGAGTGTCATTTACATTCCTACAGTTCAGTTTTTCAGTTTTAAGGCAATTAAAATCGAAAATACTCTTCAAAAGGCTACTGTTCATATGAAGAAGTATAAGGGGGCCAATACACACAAGAGGAGGTCTCTGAGACCAGCTTTGTCCTGTCTTCCCCGCTTAGTTTCTGTCTGGTTCTCGCTCAGGCCCAATCACGCTGTATCCTTGGCATTCTGGAATCGGAGCAGAGTTTTCCACCCAACTACTGCACGCCCACACACATTTATGACTGAACACAAAGACTGCCTTTTCTGTGAAGCGTCACCCACCTACAGAGTGGATGGATACCTTGGAAGTTTTTTAGCAAACAATTCTCTCGGTGGAAAAAGAAATCAGCCCTGTTTTGTAAGATGAGGTTTTTTTTTTAATGGCACAGCATTAACTTAGATAAGAAAAATAGTTTTTAAAAGATTCATTTCTCTATGTGAGTTGCTAACCATCCAGAGGGGTAAAATCCTTTCACTTCCAAATGGACCCCACTCAGTGTATAAATATCTCAAAATACATTTGACTTTCAATGTTATTCAAACTATCTCACCTAACTTTACAAACATGTTATGTTCAATCATTTTTACCAAAAATCTTACTTATGCCCTGCCTAAATAAAGCAAGGAATGTATAGATATTTTCAGACAAATGGATCCTCACAAAAAGGTATATTAAGGGAAACTTTAGTATTAAATGTTTTTATTTTAAGCTGAGGAGGTCTGGTGTGGTGGCTTAGCTGGTACAGGGGCAGGGGCATTCCTCCAAGCCTGATGACTTGGTCTCAATCTCTGGAACTGACCTGCTGACATGTTTGGGAGACAAAACATACATGCATGGTTCTCTAACCTCCACATGCCACCATGCCACCCACACTCATGCCCACTAAAATTAATAAATGTTCTTTTTCTGTAAATTAAGATAATGGTTTACATAGAACAGCTCCTCTAGTTGGACAATATGAGTAAAACAGCAAAACACTCTATTAAAAAGTTTGTTTTACAAACATGGTACTGACAGATCAAGTAGACAGCAGGATTTTCCCTGGAGAACCTCAAAAGATGCCAGAGGTTAGAAACTCAAGAATGAAGCATACCAACCTATGCAGTTGTTTAAAATGTATATGCTCAAATTATGCATTTAATTCCTCATACATGAAGACAATGGCTGGGGTGAAGTAAAGCAAGACAAAATTCATATATTCTGTATTAGCCTGAAGATGGAAGCTTCTTAATACTGATGTCTACTCAAGACACGGCAGAAGAATTCATGATCGTTTCCTATCCCCCTTGTCAGTAACTCTTCTACTAACTACATATTTTTTTCTTAAAGATTTCTTTTATGTGTATGAGTACACTGTCGCTCTCTTCAGACACATCAGAAGAGGGCATCAGATCTCATTATTGATGGTTTAGAGTCACCATGTTGTTGCTGGGAATTGAACTCAGGACCTCTGGAAGAGCAGTCAGTGTTCTTAACCTCTGAGCCATCTCTCCAGAGCTCCTGAGTACATATTAATAACTGTTTCTTCCTCCCTAGATGAACCTGCAAAACAAAGCAAACCCAGGATACCTTATCAGTGTCGTCTACACTGGTGGATCTCTCCACACAAGAAGCACGCCTCTCCTGGCCTTGAGCAGCGCCCTGGGATGTGGGCATGGGTGGCAGCGGGGCACGCCTCTTCTTGGGTGCATCCGAGGGCAGTGTGTTGGAAATGTAGGGTTTGGAAATGGTGTTGGACCTCGTAAAAGATGGACGGTGCTTGCTCACTAGTGGCGTCGCAGGAGCACTGGCAGTCTAACAGAAAATCAAGAGGCAATACCGGTTTATGGTCAAAATAAAAAAACACTCTAAAAATACTTGTTAAGAATCTTAAAATGCTGCATGGAAATGCCTACTTGCTCTCGCTTTTTCTTACTGCGTTGGAAAAAGCTGAAAATCCCTTTGTTTTCTTTCTCCTTCACAATGTCCGGGTTGTGTGATATTTGGCAGGACTCTGAAAAAACATGAAAAACAATTTACTTTTTGTTCATGGGTGGAACGTTCATTTCCAGTGTTTCTTTTCTAACCTCCCTTTTAAAAGATTTTCTGGTGATGACCATCACCCATTACAGCCACTGTGCAAGGCACCGTATACCTTACCCAATTCTCAGAGCAACAAGTGAACACAGTTACCATTCATGATGAGGATGAAGTGAGGCTTACGGACACATAGCCAGGGCCAGGAGGCACAGCTAGACAGGGAACTCAATTTCTTCGGCACTGTGTAATTACCAGCATTTCAAATGCAAAGTAAGAAGACTTCTTCCCAGTGACATGTGATGCTTCTCCCACGCAGCTTATCCTTTTGTTTATTTCAGCTATAATTTTGTCAGAGCTAAACAACCATGAAGCATTTCACTCTCAAAAACATGAGCCGTCATAATTACAGCTGCCACTCTCTCTGCTCCCATGGATCTAAACAAATTCCACATGGAAAAGGCTCCAAGAAAAATCCAATCTGTACTGAATACATGCAGATTTTTTTCCTTGTCATCATTTCTGATGGAAACTCATGATAATGACCATTTAACAAAGCACTAATGAGGTACTGGGTATCACAAACACTCCCGAGATGATTTAATGTATATGGGGGTCGGGCATGGGCATAAGCTGTATATGTATATGCAAACACTAGGCAATTCTTTATCAGGGACTTCAGTTTCCATAGATTTTGGTACCCTCAAGGGTTCACAACCAATCTTCTTCAGGCACTGAGGGAAGAATGGACCCAGTATTATCTCTTAAATGCTATTAATGTTAAACAACCTAGAAGTTCTAGTGGTTCCAGAATTACCAAGCCCTAAATATTAACAGTGCTAAAACTGGACTTTAGTTAGAATGGCAACTGCCAAACTTCAAGGCTCCATTTTATCCTTCTTTAAAATAAAAGCAACAACAACTATAACAACAACAACAACAACAAAACCTGTCTCCTAATATCAACCAAAGCTGTCAATAACCAAGGACCAAGCCAGCATCTAAGCCACTGGATCCCAGCACACTTCCAATACGCTATCCCAGTGGAAGGAACCATGAAGGCTCTGCATCAGTTGACTTACTGTTTGTAGAAAGCAATGAGCTACAAACAACTAGTCATGTCAGGGAAGTCCGCTGGGAGTCACACTAAGGGACTTAAGAACCGTTCTACAGTGGTTTCTATTGGCAAAAAAATCACAACAACTATGATATCATAAAAGTAACTCTACTGAAAGGTATCACATGAGCTTGAGGAGCTGAGTTCAGATTCCATGAACCCACATAAAGCTGGATGTGAGAACATACATCTGTAACCCGAGCGTTCTTACAAGGTGGTGGGAAGCAGACAGGAGAACCACTGGAGTCTTGTGGGCCCTCTAGCTGGAAGGCACATTAAGAGACACTGTCTCGAACAAGGTAGAATAGAATGACCAATATCTGGGAATATCCTGTCTGCTACACAGACTTCACAGCACACACACTCCCATCCAGGAATCCCACACTGCCCCACACATTGATACACACGAGATTTAAACAAGAGCTAGTAGTTGAAAGGAGGATTGCCTAAGACTAGCACTCTGCTTCAGTTCCTTGTTAAGATGCGCACGGCAGATGCTGATGATGTTATTAAAGTGTCTGTAAGTAGAAGTACCAACTGCTACTTATGAAAGGTGTTTTGTTTTCCTGGAGCAGGGATCTCTATACGTAGCTCGGGGTGGCCTTACAGCTCTGGGCTTATGCAATCCCTCCTCCTTCACATCCCGAAGAGCTGGGGCTCCAGACAAATATTATCTGGCTCCTATGAAGTATTCTTACCACAAATTTTCTCATCCAAACTTGTCAGGTCTCTAGATTTATACTCAGCTGACGAGAATAAATAAGTAGGTGAACTTATACCCACAGGGTGCATGGGATCAATCCTGAAAGAAACAATCTACTGGATGGACCATGAGACAAAGGACCTTGTGTCTTCAGTTAAAAAAAATTATAATTTCAAAAAAGGAAAGACAATGACTAAACTGTGAAAATATTTTTTCCATAAAGAAACATGAGAATTTTATGCAAATCATAGTGCAATTTCAATGTTCGTGGAAACAATGCACTTCACATAAAAATTTGAGAGACACCTGGGCAGCACAAGAGAGCTGACCTTGGTGGTAGGGGCAGGGGCATAGGCGAGCTGGGAGAGCTGGTCCTCTCAGTTGTCATGCTGTCTTTATTGCAGTGACATGGGTGAGAGAGAAATGCTCCCCCACCCTTGTGACCAATGGTAGGCAGGAGAGCTGGCTTCAGGTCATCAAAGACAAAGCTGGCTCCTCACCAGTATTCAGTACTGCAGCACTCAGAGAGCAGGCCCTGTACCTAGCCAGGGCAGCACAATAGAGCTGGCCACTGATGTAGGGGTTTTAGATGAGCCAGCCCCAGTAGCAGGAGAATGGGAAGAACAGGAGAACCAGTCTTGCCTCTTGTCTGCTGGGTGGTGTTACAGACAAGGGAGAAACACCTTCCTCCCCTTCCTCATCTCTTGCAATCTATGGCAGGCAGGAAAGCTGACCCAGGTGGCAGAACTGTCCATGTCCCTCACTGGCTGCAACACTCAGAAAAACAGGCCCTGAACCTAACCTAGGCAGCAGGGTAGAGCTGGCCCTGGTAGCAGGAGCTGCTGGTGAGGGCATGAGACCAGGGGAGCTGGCAGGATGATGAGCTCACATCTCAGGCCCAGATCCAAGGCTTTGAATGGGCCCACCCTGACATCTAACCCACAGATGAACTACTGAAATACATGAAGGGGCTGGTCCTACAGGCCCAAAACTACAGGATCCCCACAACACAGGGCAACAACAGGGTATCAGAAACGAGTCCAGGGAGGATCCAGTATTTATAGTGTAGTAGAAGCCAGAGGCCTCGTACCAGACCAACAAGTCATTTTATTAATAAACATTTCCAAGTCAAGAACTGTGGACAAAGGGGTATATTGTGGGACATACTGTGACACACTACAGTTTCCACAATGATTTGTTTTCTCTGTTGGGGGGGGGAGGTTGCACAGCTGGAGGGAGGGTACAGAGGAGGGGAAGATGAGTGGAATTGGGGTGCATAATGTAAAATTCACAAAGAACTAGTAAAAAGGTTCTTTTAAAAATTGAGAGAAAACTTAAATGGGATGTAGAAGTAGATGTACAATCTAAAATGCTTTTAAAAATGTTATTTATAAATAGCATATGTCAATGTAAAAACCACTGTAGGAACACAAAAGAGTGTACTGGCTGGGTTTGGGTTGTCTTTAGGTTGTTTTGTTGTTGTTGTTGTTGTTGTTTTGGTTTTTATTTGATTTTAGTCAATTTGACATAAGCTACAATCATCTGAAAACAGGGAACTTCTTTTAGAAAAAAGCCTCCCTCCATCAGATTGCCTGTAGACAGGTCTGTGGGACATTTTCTTCAATAATAACTGATGTGGGGAAGGGCTCAGCCTCCACTCTCCTGTGGCTGGGGCAACCCCAGGGTAGGTGATCTCAGGTTGTGTGAGAGAGCAGGCTGAGGAAGCAATGGCCTCTCCTTCAACTTGTCTCCAAAGTTCCCCCTCTCCTTGAGTTCCTGCCTTTGTCTCCCTTAATGATAGACTGTGTTCAGGATGTGTAAGACAAATAAAACTTCTCCTTCTCAAGTTGCTTTTGGTCATGGTGTTTTATCACAGCCACAGAAAGAAAAGCAGGGCAGATAGATAATATCAAAACACATATTAGTGCACTCTGTCATAGTAACATTCTAAAAGAAAACTGTCTTTCAGATATCAACACTTTAATAAACTCAAAACATTAAATAGGCAGTACACAGTGCATGAGGGCCTTCCTAAGGCTAACAAGGAACAATGAGGACACAGGGCTTCAAGACTACAGGTTTTTTATATTCTTTATTTCTGAGAACACCTCTGTCAAAGAAGAAATAAAAGCTTCATTGTGAGCTATTTTCCCATGACTGGAACATGTTAGTTACAAAAAAAAAAAAAAAAAAAGCAGCATTCCATTCACATTTAAGTAATCAAGTGACCTGAGATTTGAATAACTTGCAACCTCATAGATCCATTCAGTAAGTGTAGCCAGAATATGTCAAATGATGCTTTCCTATACCTGATCACCTTCCACACTATGTCAGCCCTCTTCAATTAAAATCATGTGTGCAGCTCGCTAAGTGTCAGAGTTAAACACTAAGACAAGTGAAAACTTGCCTTCATTAAGGAAATCAGCTCAAGCACTGTAGCTTCCTGTTTCTAGAAGAGAAAGTCTCAGAACACAAAGTCTAAAGGCTTCTGATGACATCCCACCATATCAAGGGGTAAAAACATGTATGGTTTAGATAGACCTGCTGGACTCTAACACTGTAATATGAGCTCTCTTGACCCCATAACTCTAGTCCCTGCATGTTCTGGCCATGCATTTAAGTCTCTGAAATACCCCACTAAGGTAAGGCCAGAACAGACATTAGACATCAATGATTATAAACACCTTAAAGTTGAGCCTAAGAAATCCATGGAATGTGGTTAGGAGCGAGCCAAGTACAAGCACTTTTTCTGGAAAGAAGCAAAGACCATTCGCTCCCATTTCTTGAATATCATTATAGAAGTAGAACCTAGACATATAAAGCTATTTTCTCTAGAAGCTTGACATCTTGGCTTAACAGTCAATGTGGCCTCAGAATTAAACAAACAAACAAACAAACAAACCTATTTTCTGATTCTCTGCCAGGGTATATTTTAAGATGACAGGAATTTTTAACTCCTTTGATTATGCTAGCTCATGACAGACACTGAAAATAAATCAACATATACTTGCTCCTGTGGGCTTAATCAGAAGAACCTGTCAACATGCAATATGTACTTAACAAATCTCTGCTTTTACATTCGACAGTAACAAACATACAAATCTGTAGAAGAATTTTAATCCAGCAACATGGTTGGTTGGGCAGGAATATAGACATAGCTTTAATCCCAAACAATGTATGTAAGGTTAGTTTGTAGAAGGAAACAGCTATTGTTGAAAGTGATGTCTAATTGAGGGACAAAGTGACAAGTCAGAGAAAGATTTGACAGAATGAGTCAGAGATAGGATACACCCAACTCTCATGAGAACAGACAAGAAAGAGAAGCTATTTAAGAGCAGTACAGGCAGAGAGAGGGAGTCAGTTCTGTTCAGTTAGTTGAATTCAGTTCAGCCAGTCAGCACAGGAGGCAGTGCAGTGGAGCGGAGTTCATTCCTGAGTTCATTCAGTTTGATATAGGTCAACAGAGACAGTTCAAGCCAGAGAATGAGAAGGAGCCAGAAGATTAGAACAGACTGCCACAGTTAGTTTGAGACCAAGCAGAGCAATTCAGTAAGAAGCTGAGAGAAGCCAGATTAAATACCGCAGTTTAGAGAGAAGTTTTAGCCAGAACAGCTGAGTTGAAGGCATTCTGTGACAACCTGCCAGCCAGAGACAAAGAACTAGACAGGGTGAGCTTTTTTAGCAGTAAGTCTCTGAGACGACAATTACATTAGGCAAATAAAGCTACCTTTACACAAATCAGTGCCCTGGGCCTATCCTTTTTTTAATGGAGGAAAAAGATTCTCAGATTCTATTACTGAATAATTTTTTATCAAATTTCCTTATGAAAGTAATATATATTCATTATAAACTCTCTAAATATAAAGAAATATGAAAACTTGCTCCCAGCCCAACCACTCAAAGATCATCACTATTAAGCAGCTTATGTATCTCCTTTCAGAAATTCCATGTGAAAGATTTTTTACATACAGGATTAAATTCCTTTATAAGCTTTTAAACCTAATAATGGTAATATAAAATTTTTATGTCATTACAAAATTCAGAGAAAATCTAAATAATGGTGGGGAAATGTGATAAAACTGCAGGTGCCACCTCTCCCAGTTTCTGCTCACTGAGAAGAAGCTCAGTCTCTTCCACTGCATTTCCAATGTGTTCATTCGCACTAGGAGCCAAGCACACTCCTACCAAACCATTGTTTCCTATATGAGTAACAAACCCAGTGTCCCACACTTTTAACATGGTATGATTTTCTGAACTGCTTTTAATGTTTGGGATTTTTTTCTTTTCTCCTAGGTAGCTCATGTCGCCCTTGAATGTGGAATCCTTTTGCCTTGTCTCCCCGAGCGCTAGAATTGTGGATCTACTCCCAGGTCTAGAATGACATCATGTATCAGTACTCTATTGCCATGAAATCAGTAAAATTTGAGACAGAAATCAAAGAAGGTGGAACCTTTCATTTTTTTTCTAAAGGAAATAAAACCCCAAGATTTTTTTTTAAGTTAAAATCTCTTACAGAATGCATGTGTTAGTAATGTTAAAAAAAATAAGATTAAGATCTCAATTTTAATCTTTCCAATTTTGTGTTATAATTTACAGATTCTTCTGATTCTTATATCTTACCTTGGAAAGATGACTTACTGAAGGCAGTAACAGAGGGGGCTACAGCAAGAGGGAGTAAAACAGGGTAAATGACCGTGACGATTGAAGTCCATTAACTATTAAATATCACCGAGTCAAAACCGTAGTCTGTGGATTACACTGTATCATGACCTCAGAATAATGTCTGAAATTCTCTCTGCGGCGTGCATTAACTGTCTCCTCCATAATGCCCTTAATTCCCTTAATGAAAGAGATTCACACTGAATATCTAAACTTAACTAGTCTATGGGGCACCAAAATAAATCAATCTCTGATATCTCCACATTTTAACACATCTCCTCTTTGTATGAATAAAAATTCTGCAATATGGAAAATTTCTGTAAGTATTCCTGATTCATTTCATACACAGGCTTACTTTGCATGCTGACCTATGTTGACCTCAGAAAGGAATTTGGCAAAAAAAATCTTCAAACTTGATTGATAGCTAAGCCTTGTACAAAATTATGTGGAGTCTCCATAAACTAACTACTGCTTCACTAGAACAGCAACAGGCTCGCATATAAGTATTGATTTTGTTTAAATCCAAAAGGCACAAGAAATTAAGTTAAATTCTATAAAAAAAAAACAACCTGGACAAAGTGGCACAAGCCTGTCATTCTAAACTACTGAACTCAGCTGAGATGGGGGGACTCCTTGAGCTCAGAGGTTCAAGCCTCTTCTTGAGTCCCCATCATAAAAAACAAAGAGGAATAAAAAAGTGCAAAGCTACCAAAGAAAATATAAAATATGGTAACAGCTAAAAAGTCTGAGACTTTTCTCTCCATTGCAATAACTTCTATCAGGTTAAACTGTACACTTGGTTTGATTTACTTATTTCAATTTTTTTCTTATTATCCCCAATACGATATATTTATTTCTATCTATATGATTGATCCATTAAATCCTTGCCATTATGTAGTTGGGAGCACTTATCTGCATGACTGAATGCATACACACACACACACATACTCACACACACACACAGACTGAGGAGGGAAAGTCCACTTACCTCTACTGATATCCATGGCATATAACTCTCTTAGTCCCAAGTCATTAAGAGATTTTGTCAAGTCGAGGGGATCCTGAGCCTGGTAGTCCTTCAACAACACTGTATGCAACGGGTCAAACTCACATTTGCTGCAAATGACAGGAGCGAGGTCTTGAAGCGGTGCATGCGGACTAACTCTCACTATGGTCTTCTGCGTTTTTTTAAAGTTGATCACTACTCTCACGGTTTTCTGAAATGTAAATTGTGATACACAGCTGGAACATAATTTATTTACCAAAATAAAATTTCCACAGTGGCATCTAAAAGGATATCTAGAACAACTGACTCACGATTCTGTGACGTATGAATTAAAAACCAGAGTTACACCTCAACTCCAGGTCATTAATTAAAACAAAATCTGTGCAATGCTATCCAGTCTTAGGTATTACTCAAGGTCTTATATTCATTCAGCAAACAGTTCTTTCTATTCTCTTCCTCTGGTACGAAATTCTTTTTTTCATTAATGCTATAACCTAATTTTAAGGTAACAAATTCTAAGGTAACAAAAATTAGGTGTGTTTTGACTTTTTAATAATCCTGGGGATTAAATGTATGGTTTTATTCTTATAAGTCAATAGTCCCCTTTTTAATTTTCATTTTGATTCAGAATGTAATTAAGTTGTCCTGGCTGAACTTGAACTAAATCTACAGTCAAGGTAGGTCTATGAACTCTGACCCTCTTGTTACAGCCTTCTAAGTACCTGACAGTAGTGAACAAAGACTAGCTTCCTCTGTTTTTTGTTTTTTGTTTTTTAAAAAACTTAAATTCAAACTCTATTAAGTATTTGTTTGTTTATTTAATTATTTATTTTAACTTTGTGGTAGGGGTGAGACAAGATTTCTGTGTGTAGCCCTAGCTGTCCTGGAATTTCCTCTGTAGATGAGCCTGGCCTTAAACTCAGAGATCCACCTGTCTCTGCCTCCCAAGTGCAGGAATACATCACCACCACCTCCTGGCTAAAATTCCTGAAAGCAAAATATTAAGCAAATTTGAAGTCAACAAAAACAAAGGCTCATATGTTATGGTATTATTACTATTTTTATGCTGTGTCTTAAATTTTAAATTATCAAATATATACAATAATAATATCTATGTCTTATGTTGCCCTTTATTTAAAGAATGATTGTCTTTTAATAGCCTGCCAAGAGCTGCAATAAAAAAAATGCATTTCAGAAACTACTATCCTTATAATCAATGGGCTCAACCATACTAAAAGTGGAGCCTCATGCCTCTCACATGGTCAGTTATCAGTGTGGTACTACTACATACTGTCATTGATGTTTATTGTTTGTACTATTAAAATTCCAGTCAACTCTAATAGTAAAGAATAGAGAAATCTTCCTTAATTAGACCTAATACTAATAATTTCAAGATTATTTGTACTCTTTCAAGTGTTTCCCTATTTTGATGTAACTGGATTAAGCCTATTAAAAATGGAACTCTGCAATAGGTAGCTACACTAAATGAAATATAGAGATTTCAGATTCTCAGAGATATTCATTCTTACAGTTAAAAATCCTGTAACTGAGGGGCTCATGAGATTTACAATATATTTGCTACATAAATAAAATTGCTCCAATATGGTTCAATAGCATGTGCATACAGCAGATAAATTCATACCTAGGCAGAAGACAGAACGCTGTCTAGTATTTAACATTCAATCAAAATTTAAAGGCAATGTTTTACCATCAAATCCCTGTCAACACTTTTATTAAGTACTTATGAACAGTATGAAGACATTGGGAGAATGTATGTATTCAGTCAAATGGCAGTGAACTAACACTGCAACACATAAAGTTTTATATATTTTACCAAAATGGTTGATGTTCTTAACTCGGAAGTATTTTTGAAGTCATAAACTTCTATGCCTGTATTCTTTTAGCAATAACTTCATGAGAGTAATTTTAAGAGAAAAGAAATTAAGTGCTATGGATATCAGCTCACTGGTAGAATGTTTATTTAGCAAGTATGAGGTCCTCGGTTAGATCAAGTTAATAAATACATAATGGTAAGAATGTCATCTGAATAAATCAGTGTCATCATTGTTCAAAGGTCCTGGATAATGCATTAAAAAGGTAAGGATGTGAATAGATAGCTCAGTGGTTAAGAGTGCCTGCTATACAACCATGGTCTACGTAACAAGCCAGGCATGGTTTCACAAATGCCTACATCCTAGTATTGTGGGGACCAGAGACAAGAGGAGACCTAGTGCTTGCCACCAGAATAGCTGAAAAACAATAGCTCCAGGTTCAGGAAAAGATCCTACCTCAAATGAGTAAGTCAGATAAAGAAGGACATTCTATGTCCTCCCCTGGCCTCTGAACATTTAATATTCATACATAATTGTTTATAAAAGAAAAATGAACTACTACATAAGATAATAAACTATGATCCAGGTGTATGTAAAATTAGTTACTTACCAAATATATAGAATTCAAATATGATATTAAAATTTAAAATACAGCTTACATATAGAACTTTTAGTATATAGCATATAGGTTATTATCAGATCCCAATGTAGTCAATCCACTGATTTTTAGAGAACTTGATATCTAAATTGTTCCTCCAATAACCAGTTGATGACAAACCAAGTGGCTTAAAAAAACATTATTGCCATATTCCATGAAACCAGACCAGAAATGTAGTTCTTACTTAATTTATGTGAACAATAAACATTGACTAAAAACTTAACTGAATATTTCAAACATAAGAACATCAAAATCTGTGGTAGAATCCTTACCTCTGGGATTATAGGTGTAGGCTTTTTCTTATCCAGAGATTTTGGCTTTAAAATTACCTTCTCTACCTCCAGCATTCCTATTGGTGTGTTTGGCTTAAATTTGATGAGATTCTCTTCAGCAGACAGCAAATCAATCGTGTGACTTGATGGATTTAAGTGATACTGGGCACAGAGGAAGACGAGCAAGTCCATCATTGGCTTACTGTAAGACATGAACAGTGATGGTTTTAAGAGTCCAACTCAATAGACTCTGAAACTTAACTGTTTTGAGAATTTTACTCTGCTCCTTGTTTGTCTTCAAGACATAAAGCAAGGCTATAAATAATAGCTGTGTGAGCAATTTAAATATCTGATAATTAGAAGGACAAAAATCCTAACAGATTAGCTTGAGATCTTAGATGTTAGCACTGGTTCAACAATTTTCTACAGATTTTTATTTGGCAGTTTATGTTATAAATTGTATGAGTCCTTCCTTCCTCAAGAATAGTCACTTAGTTTAGGAGACAATCCTCAACAGTATAACTTGCAGTCCTTACCTCATAAATTGGCTACACTGCAAAGTTCTCATAGAACAAAGTACAGCCTTTGTGTGTGTGTGTGTGTGTGTGTGTGTTTATATGTGTATGTATGTGTGTGTATTATGTATTAGTAAACAAATATATAAGGACCCCAAACTTTTAACGAATCCTGTGGATTCTTAAATTATTCAAAGAATACTTATTTAGTATTTCCTAGGTTCTGCTGTCATTGCACAATATGATGACGTGCTTCTCCTGACAGATCCAATATTTTATTTGACAGACTGGACCATGTGTCAGCAATATTGCAGTCCACTTACAATCTGCTCCAAGCCTAGGCTGACCTCAACTCAGTATGTACCTATATCCAGGCCTCAGACTAGTAATATTCTCCTGCATCAGCCTCCCTAGTGCTAGGATTATGGCTGTGTGGTACTATGCCTGCTTCCTAATTTCTGCTTTTTTAAGTTGAGTTTGTTAGGATGTATCCTGCCTGTTGTTACTATAATGTCCCAGGCTGCTTTGTTGTTGTTGTTGTTGTTGTTGTTGTTATGGTGGTAGGTGTGGACTGTAGATTATATGGCCTACAAAGCCTAATACTTTTATTATGTGGCCTTTGATATAAAAAGTTTATGGGCCCTTGTGTAACGGAAGTAAATGTTTCATGTAATATCAAAGAATGACCAATAGGAGAATATAGGACTGATCTGTATACAAGAAAAACTTGGCCGGGCGGTGGTGGCGCACGCCTTTAATCCCAGCACTTGGGAGGCAGAGACAGGCGGATTTCTTAGTTCGAGGCCAGCCTGGTCTACAGAGTGAGTTCCAGGACAGCCAGGACTATGCAGAGAAACCCTGTCTCGAAAAACAAAAAACAAAAAACAAAAAAAAAAAAAAAACAAGAAAAACTTGAACAGGATTCTTGCATAGCCAGCTTGGCATTCAGGGTACTTCTCAGTTTGGAACTTCCCTTTCCATGGGTACCAACTGCCAACACACAATTAAGTTTTCATTCATATTAACAGAACTTGGTGGTCTTGTCTTTCTTAATGGCCAATCCTTTAGAAATTGGAATTTTAAAAAAATCTTTTTGTAGCCAGAGAGTGCTCTCAGTGGTGGAGAGCACTGCCCGCTCTTATAGAGGACCTGGGTTCAATTCCACATGGCAGCTCACCATTGCCTGTAACTCCAGTTCCAGGAGGTCTAACACCTTCCCACAGACATGCATGTATCCATGCACATAAGATTATTTCTGCATCCTCCAATGTCCGGTGATCCTAAAGTATTCCCACTTAAGACAAAGGCATTAGAATGACACACAGAAGTCCTTGTTCTTAGTTTATGGGCGGAGGTGGAACCCAGGGACTTCACTGTAAAGAAATCTGTGACCAGCCACTTTCCTCTTTTAGGAAAAATGTAAATGCCAGTAAAATTGATTTTCTATTTAGTCAACATGAACCTAGTTACTAGCTTTCAGGAGCTTGACAGGAAAATGAGACTAGGAAACTCAGTTTACTTTTCCATGTCAAGCTCAGTATACCTGCTTATTACAGTGTCTCAGCCCACCGTCCAATCTCACTGCAGTCCTAGGTCTGTGACCTCTCTGATTTAGATTTTAGAGAGAAACAGTCTCCCTTAGGAGAGCTGAAGGACCAGTTGTTTCCATGTCAACCTAAGGGGAGATACCACCTTACCTATATTTTCAAACTATCCACTATTCTCAGCATTACAGTATCTGTACAATGAAACATACTTCCCTCCCAATCCCCCAAGCTGTGTATTGGACTCAGGGCCTTATACTCCACTATCTCATGAGAGGTACATTTCTTTTTTGTTTGTTTGTTTTTTGGTTTTTTGTTTGTTTGTTTGTTTGTTTTCTGGTTTTCAAGACAGGGTTTCTCTGTGTAGCCCTGGCTGTCCTGGAACTCACTCTGTAGACCAGGTTGGCCTCAAACTCAGAAATTCGTCTGCCTCTGCCTCCCAAGTGCTGGGATTAAAGGTGTGTGCCACCACTGCCTGGCAAGAGGTACATTTCTAATGACACTCTTTCTTGTGTACAAGCAGCATTCCACCACTCAATAAATGACTAAATCAATGAATGACTTCATGCTGAATTTTGCAAAGCCTGGATTTCAAGAGGTACTAAACAAAAAGAATACACAGACTCCCATCTGTGAGTGCTGGAGTGGAGAGGGTGTAAGGAAATGTCTTAGTTGGAAAACGGCCTTAAAATAGACTAGAAGAGAACCAGTTATCTGGGAGAAGTTCACTAGTCAGCTCTCCCTGGAGTGCCAAGGCTCCGAGGCCCTGGATGCAGAGTTTTTAAAAAACAGTAATCTTACTGTGTTTCTAAAAGCGTCTTGGGGAAACACCTGAGATTTTATAGAGTAAGATTTAAAAGCTCATAAGAACTCTAAGAAGGCTATAGCAAAATTTATGTGGGAAGTTTAGTATATACCTCAAATGTCAGCAGTGTGGAGGCCTGGACTAAATACTGAGCTGGGAGAGGAGGTGAAAGAGTGAAAGGGATGGGGAATGAGACTATTGAAAATTTACATAAAGTCACTAAGGAGATTATATCTCTCTCTGGAACTGTGAGAGAAGCTCTGGCCAATTTGACCCAGACCTTATCCAGAGTTCATGTATATAGCTATATGTGAACACCTCTCTGGCAGGACCCCAGCTAGCAGTTTTTATTCCCAGGAAATGAATGGAGGGAATGAATTAAGGCTGTGCTAATATGTGACAACTTTAGAAGAGCTAGTCACTGGTCATTTCCTCCTGGACAATGCTACTTGAATAACAGTGTTAACACACATACACACACACACACACATACATACACACACCACAGATACACACCACACACACTCCCACACTCACACCACAAATATACACATACAAAACACACACAAACACTCATACATATATACACACACCATAGATACACACACACAATACACATACACACCACAGATACACACACCCCCACACACCCATATTCACACCACAGATACACATATAACACACACACACACAAATACTCATACATATATACACAGATCACAGATACACAGACACACCACACACACACAAACACACACACAAATATTCATACACACAATGCACACACACCACAAAACACTATTGAGATCTATGTGCACATAGGGGAAACAGTTGTTGAAGGAAGGGTCACATATCTAGGAAAATGTATGTACTGCAAACTTTAGCAAATTGGCGTAGTGGCCTTGTTTTATGCAAAGCTGTCCCATCAACAATAAGAGACTATTATCTTTTACAGATGTAGCTTCAGACCAGTTTGAATGGTTAAAACATGTAAGAGAAGGCTCAGTAGTTGACACTAAACCACCTCAGAGTTTCCTTCAATCAGAAGAATGAGAATCACAACATAGCTCTGTCATAAAGGAGCCACAACATTAAATGGCAGGACTCCAACTCTGAACCACGTGCTGTGGGCAATAATACATACTGCTCCCACAGAAAATAAGTCAGCCCTTAAATATAGATGAGGATTATGCACCTGAATGCCAAAGCACTTTTGCCAAAGACAACAATCTTGGCTTAGGAATAACTGTTCTCATATGATAAGACTTACAACAGTTAGGAAGCAAGTTCAGTCACAAATTACTATTGCCAGGAAAAGAGATATCTTCCTGTAGCCCAGAGTGGGAATATCTGAGACCCAAAGTATATTTTTAAAGTAGTTAAGGAGAATATGCACTGAACTGCCACAGCCTCGCTGATGTGTGCATTGGTCTCTTCCCCGACTTATCATCGCCACAGCACTGTGAATTCTGACATCACATTACCTGATTGCAACATTAACATTACCACTGTCTTAGCATTGTTATTAATACTTGCAGAAATTTATACAATGATTACCTGGAAGGAATATTTAAATTTTTAAAGCAGCTAATATTTAAAAATGTCTTCAAAAACTTTCCTTGACATGAAGAAATCTCTGTGAGATCTCCAACTTTCCATAAACAAACAAAAAAATCACCTTTTGTATTTAATTCTTTTCTATTATTTCATTTGAGCTCAGATCTACCACGAAAGCTATTCCTACTTCATAATATCTTCAAAAACTTTCTTTGACATGAAGAAATCCCTGTGAGATCTCCAACTTTTTATAAACAACAAAAATATCACCTTTTATATTTAATTCCTCTCTATTATTTCATTTGAGCTCAGATTTACCATGAAAGCTATTCCTACTTCATAACCTTATAAATAAAACAAATGAGGCTTAAGAAATTACAGTACATATACCACCACCTATAGTAATCATTTGGATTAGAATTTCCTGACTCTTTAATTGTTTCCAGCTACATTTAGCGTCCTCATGATTCAAAGTAGTGTCCATAGGGGTGAAATGATTGTTTAGAACAGGATTATCTGCTTTATGACATACTTTTACCATACAGATCGGAGACTTCATCAAATCTTTCCTAAGTCCTCTGGGACCCTCGCTGTATCTAGGACACAGAGTAGTAGTAATCTTAACCTGGTTTTGATAATGGATGGTTACAGCTTCTATTCCTGTGTTTTAAAGATCCAGCTGGATATCAAAAGATTCAGGTCACGATTCAATAAAGGGCTCCATGAACATTTCAAAAACGACATAGGTGGATTTCCAAGCCTCCACGTGCTTAAACAAGGC